GTGTCATGATTCCCTGTTACTCTGAGTTTCGTGCTTTCGCACTCGTCAAACAGATTTAATGGCAAACATTTCTGTGGGCTAATTTATATATGCTGATCCATATTCAAAAGGATAGGTGCTGATTACAATAGGCCGTTGTTATCTAATATGCACAATAGGTGAGATAAAGCGAAAATTACAGTTAATGTGGATATATAAAGGATAATGAGAAAATGGGTGTGAGTGTATTAGCAGAAGTCTATTGTAGCAGGGGACCGTTCACTGTTCTTTGGATAAAACTTGTTTTCGTGGCGGCACTTGGATATAAGTTCAGATCTTTTATTCAATAAATTGCTGCTGTTAGACTTAATAATCATGAGTTTTTCGGTAAGGCAATGGTCGCGGCATCTTTTCGTTGTGTTGTTGTAGGGCCTTGCTCTTGCAATAATGGACCATTTTATGCTGAAGTTTACAGAGTTTTCTTTCAGTTTCCAGATGTATTTAGATAATTCAGTGCTGTTAGTGTATTTTCTGTGTCGGAATGTGACCTTGTGTCGGTTAAATCTTTGTTTAAAAGTTCCTTCAGTCAATCCAATGTAGTTCTTTGGAGTCGCTTTGTTATCTATAACGCACAAGTCACCACTACAGATAACAAAGCGACAGGGGTAAAAACAATTACAAAAAGTAATTCTTTCTGCTAGTTATCCTTAATACACACGTATCCAACTGTGCACATATTTGACTTTGTTCCACTTATGGGCATAATCATCTCCATCTTAATTTCAAATGATTTTACAAGTCGCCACGACGAGTTAAAAACTCTTCTAACAAAGTGACAGTGTATCGTTTCTGCTACTTCTGGGGAAAATATGTCCTCAGGATCTGGGCAGACGACAAAATAAAATATGAAATTTCCTACAACGAGGCTTAACAAATTTACCGGCCGGTAATATGAAGGAAATTCACATTCCTAAGGACGTCAAAATTTAACCGTTTTACTATCGTTAACACCCACATATCAAGTCCTCTGCTTGGTATGTCCTTGGTATGTCCTTGGTATGTGCACCATAAATGATTTGTGTTTAATCAATCCACAACTTGGTAAGGAAACGTTTGAGATATGACTCTGATTAATTTAATTCATGGCAGTCTCGCCTATGCAACAGACAGCTGTACCAAGCTATGACCTGTGCAACAAGCTTTTTGCCAGAAGGTTGGTAAATTTCAACGTGAGCAAGAAGACGAGGAAAGACTTTGCCAATCAAGAGACTGCGATTTACCTGAAAACGGAAAGGAAGAGTTCTTTCATTTTCTGGAGCTCCTTTTATCACCTTCGGAACTGAAGCCGGTCACAGACTGGTTCACTAATTATCTCGCTGCCGGTGAATTGGAACATTCGCAAAATGAATTAAGTGAGGAATTCAAAATCGGTGTTACGTGAGTCTTCTCCATTATTGAGTTATTTTGTAAACTGGCTCGCGCGAAGGCGTAAAAATAAAACACCAAATAGCTCGACCTTTGGCCCTTGAAGCATAATTGATGACTCACCGACTCCCAGCTCCCTGCAAAAGAAAAGGGACACAACGCAAGGGGAAAAAGAGAGAGAAGGGCAACATAGAGAGCCGTGTATTCAAAGAACGATTACGCTCCAAAGGGATAAAAGATTAATTTAACCCTTAAATGTTTGAGTTCATCTAGCGGCAGATTACCATTCAAGCCACCCATGTGGTGACAGCCGTCGTTCGCGCTTTGCACCGCTCATGGTGCCTAGACAAAACTGTCACTTTCACTTGCGCGCTAATTATCAGTGAGTCTTCCTTCCTGGAGGTTACGTTTCTCGTATATTGGCGTTGAAAGAAAAATAGTGCGCATTTGCCGTATACTTGACACAATTCTACACATGGAACTTTGAACAAAAAAGAGAATTATTTCAATAAGCTCATGATTTCTTTAACAGATTCTAAGAAATATCCAGCATCCTAGCTGTTTGTTTGCAAACTGATCGTTCATGAAAAAAATAGAATGTAGTCATAATTACAATCCATATTAAGTTCTGTTGCAGTCACAAAGAGTTATGGAACAGTGTTATTATCGTTTGGATCATGCCTCGTTCTTTTAAACCATATGAAGTGCATTCTTTTGGAAAGAAGAAGTGGCATTTTCTTAATTCTTTTGCGTGATCTCAGATGCAATCTATGCCCATCGAATTGTCTGGAGTGCATTCGAATGTCAAACGAATGAATGCGATAGTCACGAAAACCTTTTTCTAAATTTAAACAACAAAATCGGAGTAAGTCTCGAATTCCAGCAGAAAAAAATTTGTGAAACATCGTAGACAGTAACTATACCGGCCAGACCAGTCCTTTCACTAACATAATTTTTCAAGTTTAGATCGCCAGATCAGCAAATGTCTAAACTAATTCACTCTCTCTCGAATAGAAAGATTATCGTTCAATTTGAAAATTGACCTTTCCAGCAAGTTAGTTGTCCCCAATGGTAGGCGCCAATAGAAAGTGTCAGCCTCTAATTATAGTTTACGAAACGAGTATTGACTTTTTTTTAAACCATTTTAAGATACATAAAATTACTCTCAAACGTCTCTATCGTTCTCCATACTTGTTCCGCTTAAGTGCATTCAAAACCATTTTAAGTTACTTTTCTATCTTTTAAAACTTATATCTTTTTTATTCCTCTACTTTGAGATTAATTTTCATAGAGGTGGACAACGACTTTGACACGCTCCTTTAAAGGGTTGGTTTCGGAAATGACTTTTAAAGATATGGTGCATCAACTGAGAGCTAGCAATACATAACACCTTAATCATTTTAGCGCTATCAATCGTCTTGATGTCTGACTAACTTTAGAAAAGTGGCTAAGATTTTCTTTATTTTGAACATGGAAACTACGAAATAACTGAATCCCAATTAAGAGAATTAGCAGTGTGATGGGTCTAGAAGACGCCACAAACGAGAAAGTCTTAACAAGATAATAATTCCGAAGAAAATGCTGCCAACTTCAAATATAGGTATAAGCAGGACATTATACAACAAACAGGGAATCGACTGTAATATTTCGGTTCTTTTTACATTACCAATACCATGCGTAAAAGAAAAATTGGAACGTTGATCTACTGAGGAAAGTCAACAAGGAAAGTGTGAAATAAGCTAATAACTGCAACAAGGAATGCGAAATAAAAAAAAAAAAAAAGAAGAGAAAACAGGACTAAGTATATCAAGACATAGGCTGCCAAACTAGAACAATACGAGTTCTTTAACAGTCTTCATGCCCTAGTTAGGCAGTGGGTTTTACCTCTTAATTAGTGGCGATTCCAAGAAACGTACTTGGTTATCCGACATTCTTATTGCACGCAATAATTGCTTCGTTATTAAAAATAGTTCAGTGAACATGTTAGGTAAAATTAGCTACATCGACTTTTTTTTGAAATCAAGGAAAACTTTGATGAGTTAAAGAGACTATACGCATCCTTTGTCCTTAATTGTTCTCAATCTTTCCTTGTGTATAATGAAAGGGAAACTGTCAAAATTAACGGTGAATTTACTACAAGAAGCGGATGTGATCATGTTGTCGGTGGAGTAGCGATAAAAAAAAGATAACAACAAGAAAATAAACGGAAAATTCCTTCTCTTCGTCTAACTTAATTTTTTTACTTGTGTTCATTTTATTTGATTTACGAAGGAAATACTAACACCCTCACAGGGCGAAAGGGCACTGTCAATATGAGTGCCGAGGAGAAGATGATATTGACGTCATACTGCACCATAGAAAATATTTACGTTCCTTGGTCGGTCATTGACGAATATTGTTATCTTTTAACCAAGTAGATATTTATTTACAGATTTTGAGAATGTTTGCATAGTAATCGGTCCAATAATTATCGAATTTACCGAGTCCAACAGGATTAGTACTTAACAGTATTGTGCACATTAAGAGCGCTTAAAAACGACAACTACCAACACACAATGGTGAGTTAATCCCACTTCACCTGCAAAAGTAATCAGCGGAAATAATACCACGGGGCATCACTTTTTAAAACATTTGAACTCTAAAACAGCAAAATACCTCCAGCAGCGCTCTCATGAGCATTTAACACGGAAACGTGCGTTCAAGATTGGTTTTCAAAGCCAAAAAACATTTCCTTTGATAGGAATAGTGTCAAGGATACTTTCATCATTCATCATCAAAGGGAGAGAGATACTTTAAAGAGATTCTCATAACATCACGAATGGAATAATCCACAATAAAAGCCCTTTCAACATCCATTTGCGTTTTAAAATGTTTGTCAGCACTATTCCGGAATCACTTACATTGAACTCTATAGGTCACACGAAACAGTCGCCACTGAAGACAAAAAAAGGCACATAAAAAAAAAAAAATTGCTTATACGTGCTATTTCTCTCATGGGAAAAAAAAAAATTCAGCAACCATGCTAGCTACAGACAAAAAAAAAGAACGAGTCGTAAACGAATTCAAGTGACAGAATAAGTTTAAAAATAATCTAGAAAATATGCACTCCGCCGAACTTTGAAGTAGGTCATTTGATCGAGTTCAGTACACATGCCAAATGAGTTCAGAGAATTTAGAAACGGTGATAAATCTAAGATAACAAACTCGACTACTTCATGGCCTCACTTAAAAAAGATAAATAGATGAAAAAGATATATGATAAAATTTATTGCAACTTGTCATAACTGCTTAAGAAAAAGAATGTTAAGTAAAATATCCCAAGGTTTTCATCAAATCTTAGAAAACTCGAATGAGGTAGAAAACGGAAAATTAAAAAACGCACCCAAAAAAAAAAACGTTACGCTGACAGGTAACCCGGAAATTCGGAAAGGGAGAACTTAGAAATACCGTCTTCTCGAAGAATCGAAAACCACGGCTAAGTATGATCTGTGACCTCCCATGACCACACGACCTGCTATTACGCACTGAGCTGCGTCTCACAGCTAGTTGCTACACGCAAACATTGAGTCAAAAAGAAGATGTTTCAAACATTTTAGGAGCGAGCTAAATTCATTAATGTTTTTATGCTGGTGGACGTAGAAATTCCCACCTGGTAGATATTAGATAGTCAGGAGGTAAATAAAGAGCCTGATTCAAATTGCAGTCAAAAAGGATTAACAATACTAAAATCTGGTTGTGATAATATCAGATCAAGGAAACTTATGCTTTTATCTAGAGGCGACGTACGGTTATATCAAACAAGCTAAAGGCAGCTGTATGATATAAATTTTATCACATCGGATAAAAAGGCGATAGTTTAAAAGGAATATAAAAATTTAACCTTTCAAATTACCTTTATCCTGTTTCTGGTATATGTTACGATTTGACTTCTCACACTTAAAGTAAAACGGAACGATTTTTCCTTTAAGTTGAGCATAAGTTTCTTAATTTATACTTGTTTTAATTCGATGGTTATATATTAGAATTCTACAAGTGTCAAATGCGCTACCATGTGGCAAACAATCGATAAAAGTAAGAACAATAAGAAAAAAAATTAACAGCCGTTTTTGTAATGGATCCTGACAACACAACCGTTCATATCATTTCTCCCAGAATTCTTCCCGTGAGAGAAATACGAAACATTTTTTGCGGGATATAGCTGACCGTGTCACACTAAAGTTTAGCTATTTTCGTAGGGAGTTATCAAGAGAAAATCGACAGTTTCTAGAACTACAGCCGAAAATCAATTTTCAACAATTAAGGGTGTGAAATATACACCAAATTTAAAAAATTGTATCGAGTGAAACTACCCTGTTAACACACATCAGATCAGAAAAACAATTTGTCTCCCGGCGGTAAACATCATTGGACTAGAAACACTGCGAGACAGGAGGTCGTACCGACTCAAGGTGTAAAAACTGCAGAGGCAACAAACTTCCGAGGGACAATTCTCACAGATGATTGCCGCGAAAGTATTTCTATTGCTATGAGCGGGAACCCTCTCGCAGTGTTTTGTCTGGGAACGAACGAAGAAAAGTGGCATGTTTTTTTTCTCTCGTAAGTGTCAGTGTTACCTATTTGAAGCCCTAGCGGTTAATACTCCTTCCAGTTCTCCCGAACTGGTTCATTATGCGATTCAAAACACGGCAATTGAATTCTTTGACGGTAGACCCTTTGAAAGGGTGATCACTCAAACTCTGAATGTTTACGATTACCAAACATATATAAAAGCATCAAAGTAGTAAAGCAGATTGCCATAAGTTGACTATTACCTGAATTAAATACAGGTGAATGCTTCGTAATCATCCACAGATCAGACACTCATCTCATAAAGTACAAAGTACCAAACCACAAAATACTGCATTGTACAAAAAAAAAAAAAGGAATCCAAGGTTCTGAATTTTGTAAAGTGTCTTTATAATAAACATCGTTTGAAATTTTAACAAAAAAAAAAAAATAGCCTCAAAGACCTAGAGTATGACGAAATTGCAATTATTTTTACAGGAATACAGATGGTGCCAAAAGAACGAGTCACCGCCAGGAAAATTGAACAGTTTTTCATCCAAAACAAGAGACGCCACCGAAGAGATATCGATCAAACTGAGTACGAAGTCGTTCTCGTGGTCGACGCCTCCAATTCCATTCGAAAACGGGATTTTCATCGAGGCATCAAAGCTCTGCAGACTCTGATCGACAAAGCAGACCCGAACACGCATTATGCAGGTATCGTGTACTCTGACAAAGCAACCGTCGCCTTTGACTTCACCGATCAAAGAACTGCTAAGCATTATCTGCGCACTAGAGTGCGTTTCGTCGGCGAAAAGACAAACACACAAGACGCACTCCTCAATTGCCGGACAAAGCTCTTTCAGAACAAAAAATCGAATTTACGTCCACGAGCCAAAAAACGCGTTCTTCTTCTCACTGATGGGAGTTCCAACATGCACATCCACCTCACTCTGTACCGGGCCTTTCAACTGAAAATCCTTGGAGTGGAAATCTTTGCTATTGGTGTTGGGAATTACATGCCTGGTATACAAGAGTTGGTTGGTATTGCTAGCAGCACAGACAAACATCTGTATCGCGTGAGGAACGCCTTGTCATTACTGGACATTGCACGGCTCATTCCACCGTGGAGATACATGCACCAACACCAGCTACCTTGGCGTACGAATAGGTACAACCAAGAGTATGATGACATTAATACCTAGAACATCATCAATACCGTAAATCCTCGAATAACACGTTCTCTTACACTAATACCTTTCACAGTCTGTAAGAATTGAGGAAAGAATTAAGAATAACTACTGGCCCGTTATGGGAAGTTTAGGATCAGCTTTGTACATGTATACACAGTTTAAGTAGTTGTCCACGCTTAGACCTAATAACTCAAAAAACGATATGTTTGTCCGCGATTCTGGACCTAGGGAGCAAATTAGAGCATTACGGTGTAGACAAACGCAGACTTCGTGCACATATGGATCTGAGCTTACTTTACAAAAACTCGAATGATTTATGTAAGACTTCAAAGTTCACATTCCTTATTCCTCAGCTTTGTATTTAATTAAATGATGTTAAGCGTAGACTCGTAAGTCACATCTGGTTTTCTAGTTGAAGATAACAGTAACCTTTGGTAAAACGATAAGAATTGAGTATCCATACAAGAGTAATATTCGTAGAGTAGTGTGATTCGCTGTTGAGCAGCAGCAGTGTTTTTGTAAAAAAATATGTGATTTGAGAGAAAAAACTGTTAGCTTATGGGTATCGCAATAAAGCCTACTAGGATTGGTCGTAGACAATAACTGCTAGAGACACAATCGCTAGAGGTTATTTCTTTGACACAGCTCGTTTCAATCAAAAAACATCTTGACAGTGTTTCACTGGATTATCAACTTTCTATTCACTTTGTATCATGCTGAGATAGTGATAAGCCCTCCTTAAAAGTCAGTTAAGTAATCGAAGTAAATAATTCAACTATTCTTGGATATGCTCCTCCTTCGAGGAGCACATTGAAGATCGTTTACCAAAACTGAAAAGATGTCAAGATGTAATACCTTGAAGCTTGTTACACTCTACCTGATAAACACTCTGTAACATTGTAAAAAAAAGTACCCAAACGTGTGTAATCTCGAACTGTCATTTTCTTCTTTTTTAACACAGTTCGTTTCAATCAATAAACATCTGTACACAATTCTAAAGCAATAATCTTCATTTCGTACTGTGGTAAGATAAGATATGTACTACTTAAGAATAAGTTAAATAATCACAGCATACGATTCAATTATGTTTTAGAGTTAAAGGAATGCCTCTCCCTGTCTATGTGTTTAGGAGGATTTCTGCGTCCAGAATGAAATTAATACGTAAAACAGATACCGCGAACTTAAGGGTTATCCTTGTAACCCCGAAACTCTGATAAATATACCACCAAATACCATCGACCATAATTCACGTCCCAATTACATCAAGGTAAATAACGGCGATGAAAGCTTGGTAACACCCAAAGCAGCGAAAGAATCATAAAATACAAAAAATGCTATCACTATCGGTTCTCTTTGCTCGTGTAATGACTTGTGGTTTCAAATTTAAGTTTGTCAAATGGCCATCATCAGTTAAAAATAACTTTGTAAAGCCAGCACTTCAACGCCCTCTTTCAGTTTAAAGGAAAACTGATTAGATATAACTGCGTGAGAATAATCTTTAGAGACTCATCAGTGGCCACAGAGGAATTCTAGACCCAAGAAGCCCGAATATTACAGAAGCCATAATGAAACAGTGGTGGTTTATCTAACCGTTCTTTGACTTTTTACGGAATTAAGGGCTTTACTCTCCGTGTAAATTCAACAAGATTACTGTCAGCAAAAATGACCATCAATAATCTTTCAGTAGCACTAACAACATAAGTCATCAACAGCCGCATAAGTTTTAGTGAGCCAAATAACGACTTGGAAATGACAATTTTAGGTGTTCTGATAGGGTTAAAAGGTACATCCAAACAGAAATTTCTCATAAAGGATACTTATATTCGAGTGTTTATCAAAGGATCGTTATGGTACTTTGTAAACAACTGGAAAAACACACACGATTACAGGAGTCTCAAACATTGTCGCAGACAGCTTTGTTCGGCTATCACCTATAACAGTGTACCATATTAAAGTTTCCTGAAAGTACATGAACATTTATCAGGGCCCTTGAATACAGCTGACAACAATTCGTACTTCATAGGTTAAAAGGAAATTGCTGCCCTCAAAAGCTCAAGTAGCACTTGTACACCTAAACAGAAAACTAATTTTAAAGAGGGAGAGGAAAAAAGGTATATCGGGCGCGTGAAACGTGAAAAACGATGGAGGAAAGCTGAAACAAACAACCACGAATTAACGTTATCTATACTTCGATCCATATACCATGTGCACCGCTCTGAATAAAGACAAAACTGCCAACCCTGAGACAAAGTTTGCAACCAAATCTTGCTATACTGCTTGATACTCAGCTAACTACAGGGTCACGAACTCGTTATAAAGTTGCAGGAACATTACAATTAAAGCTACATTTGAGATTGAGTGTAGGATACCGCAGTTTTGCTGTCATAGTAACTGCGGTAACTTCAGTTTATTTTGCAAAATAATCGAAACTTCTTGAATGATAATTTGGAATTTTTTTCTACATCGGTTTCAAGGAAACAACTGAAAAGCATGGTAGCATCGATCCATAAACGTATGGTTCTTTAAAGAAAGGATACTGTTTTAAGTCACTTTCTACAAAAAAGGTTTCTCGAAAGTTTATTTCAACTCTGGACTTTGGTCCTGTGCAACTTTATTCCAGTAAAGGATGGGGTCGACGTAAACGCAACCTGATGCGCTAACAAAATTGGATCACGACTAAAGGATTGCGCTTTGCCGACATTGATTTACAGCCCAATAACTCGTCGTGATCGGTATAATAGCGATGATGAACAGAAACACAGAATAATTAAAATTCGCGATTGGAAGGATTTTAATGGTATTTTTACGTGGCTTGTTGATGAGTCAGTGCTACCGTACGTGAGAAAAACTCTTTAACATTTTGGGTTAATTACTGTGTTTAAGAAAGAAGCAAGTTTTCAGGTTTCTTTTTCCAAACCGCTGACATACTAAATGCGCTCGTCGTCTCAAGTCACTCAACATTTCCACTCCAGTATTTTCTCAACCGTTAACCATAAAAAAAGGCAAGCTTATCAACGATTGGAGTCAAAATTCAGAAACTTTTCTGAAAAGAAAAAGGATTTGTAAAATAAAACCGCATTTTTCCATAGAAATTTATAAACTATTTAAGCTGTATGGTTACGTCTATGGTAATGAGCTTGATCTTCGGGGTAAATGGCTGTAGGACAAGAAAACTTTTATCTATTTGCCACGAGTTATGACGCTCTGACTCAGACATCATTTTCATCAGTAGCAGCCTTAGAAAGCCTTACGGAAGAACCGTGCTGAATGTTTTTTTTTTTTTTTTAATGCTGACCCTAAATAAAACCACTCAATTAGTTTCAAAATGATAAATAAATAAGTACTTAAAAAAGAAGCCGACCACTACTTGGAATCACTCAACTGACAAAAACGCAATTGTGAACGAAAATGACCTACAGCAATTATCCAAAAACACCTGTTGGTATTCATTAAATTGTATACCGACTACAAACAGAGTATTTCTTAAAGGCTGGTAAACGAACCAAGAATCAAACAGTAGACGTTTTCTTTGCGAGCTGCGCTGCAAGTGCCCCTAAAGAACCACCTGAATTTGACCGATCAAAAATGTTCAGTGTACTGACAGTCACATTATTATCAATCAACAGTTAATGTCGTCTTAATCTAATAGCCCTAATAGTGACAAATCACGCAATCTGATCTGACTATCAGCTGGAAACATCAAGATTACAAGTATAAAGTATAAAAAAAGTGCCTGGCAAAAAGATTAAAAAACAATCACTTGGATTACTGATGAGGCGACATAGTTGTTTTAACCAACGCGAAAGTGATGGCCTCTCGTTGTTAAAGTAGAAAAACGGCCATGCTAATTAAATCGAAAGCAGTTAAGTTGTAACTGATAATAGCGGTAGTGGCACAGCGGGTAATTACTCATTTTCAAAGTAGTGCATTATAAACGAGGCCATGGCACATATTTGAAACTGTAAAATGACCGAAAATGGTCGATTACAAAAATGAAAATAAACATACAAAAAAGACAGGTATCGAATGTTCGTAATGGTGGATGTTTGGTGGAAGCGAATGATGCATCACGAAACCCTTTTAAAAATACAAGAGAATTTCTTTTAGACTGTTAGGGGCGATGATTATGGAGAAATAAAGATTTCTTTTCAGTTCTATTATGCGTAAACCAGTAGATGACATGCAAGAAAATCAGTCACACCAAACATGACAACTTTACAACTTTCTAGAATCTTTCAAACCAGCCATAAGGCGACAAGCCTTCAACAACGAACGGTAACAGAAGAGTGAAAAGGAAACACCCCACATAAACACAGCAACATGTTACGGTAATATTGACAATAAACACGATTAAGCTTAAAGAAGTCTATTAATAGTTAAACCCCTCTGTCGATACACCACCCTCTCTAGTGGTCAACTTTAGTGAATGGTGTTTATGCTGGAAACTATACAAAACAAAACCACATCATGGCATAAAAATACACACAAAAAACCAAAATTTCAGTAACAGTCAAATTTTTTCTTTAAAATGGAAAAATTTCAGCTGTTGACAACTTTATTTTGGGAGTTGACATTGTTCTAAGATATTTTGGTTTACTCACATTTTGCCAACTTCGAACTTAAATCTTGTTAGTAAACACTAAGATGGTTCTCGTTAAAATGGAATGAAATGACGTGTCAAGTGACTTACGTCATTCCACGCCTCCTGCCTAGAGTTTTCTCTGACCCACCTCCCCTGCTGTTCAAAAGGTAAAATGACAATTGATTCCAGAAGTGCTGGCGAATAATGAGCACAATTCGACCGTGAGAGGAAAGTTGACGAAACTTTAGAGGTCGACGTTCAAGAGTTACACCACCAGTTGCGCGTGTCAACCAACAAGAAAATATCTCACCGGCAAACGAACGTTTTGGACATGTGGACATTCATTATGGCTCTGGTTTTGTCCCTGTTTTTTTGGCAGGATTCATCTGCCTTCATCTGGGAAAGAACTAAGAACACAAAAGTGAATCCTTGGACAAGTAAGTAGAAAAGGCAATTTCTCAGTTTTTACAATCTTGCATAGAGTAAACTATTAATGGTTGTACATTCGTATGCAAACTCCATTTTCCGCTACAAGTTAACAGCCACGCATGGGGTAAGTGTTAGCATCTAATGCCTACCTCAATCAACGGGTAAACAAAATTTTGTTTACTCTACAGACTTTACCGGCGCGAGTTCTCTGTTATTCACTTTACGAAAATTTCGAATTTTCATTTCCATTAAAATTACTTGGACGCTGTGAAACAAGTCATGCACTTTCCACTTACTCAATAACGGAATGTGCCAGAGATTACTGGTCGAGTGGCAACAACACTGAAAATAGAAACCTTTTTCCTGTAGAAAAATGGTAAAATTGAATTGCCTTTGTCACGACAGGATACCAGAGAATTCCACCTGCCCGGGAAACTGCCGACAAGCTAATGAGGTATTTTATGGGCATTGATGACACAGTGCTACGACTGATGAGAAGAAGGCATCGCAGATCCATGCCTCAGCTTTACGCCCAGTTTGACGCAATATTCATCATCGACTCTTCGGGATCGATACGGCGAAGAGATTACTATCGTACAATTAAAGCCCTGCAGATTTTGACAGGAAAAGCCCAGCATAGCAGACGGTATGCAGCAATAACATTCTCGAACAATGCCACTATCCGTTTTGACTTTACAGAAAGAAAAGAGGCCGTAAACAATTTACGGAAGATACCTTTTGAACGCGGCAAGACGAACACTCAAGATGCGCTTGAAATGTGCCGAAAGGAGCTGATATTAAACCGCAAAACAGGCGCTAGACCTGGAGTCAGAAAGCGAGTCCTTATCATCACTGACGGACAATCAAATGTTGAAAAACACAAGACTTTGTTTCGTGCGTTCCAGCTCAAGATGACAGGCACGCAAATCTTTGTCATTGCCATCGGAAAGTACATAAAAGGAATCTCTGAGATTGTTGGACTCGCAAGCTCTACAGATGCGCATCTCTATCGTGTGGCCGATGTCAATGGACTCATCCGTGTGGTGAGAATGATTCCCCCGTGGCATCGCATAAAGGAATACATGAGCCACTCATGGCTGAATAGAATGCTACGGAATCAAGCCTGAACCAGTGGCGTGCAGAGGTGGCTGGAGACGACAGGTTCATTTTCTTGGAACAATGCCTTAGCGCTCAAAGAAGCCACAAAATAGCTGCATAAAGGAAAAGCTTCAGGCATAGAGCGTCTTAACAATTTAACGCGCTTCTTAATTGTTAAGCTTGAAATATACTAAAATTGTCACAAACAGAGTCAGCCTTTCAAAAGCTGACTTCATTACCAACTATAACTATTTCCTGCATAGAAAGAGGTGGAACAATAAAAAGAACTGAATCAACCAGTCTCCTGTAGTTCTTGTGTCACATTCAGCTTTGAAAAGTTGAAACGATAAAACTCGGTTTCAAAAAATTGATCGGGCAGATGAAATTTGAAGTGCCTCTGCTTTACGTTTACCTGAAATTAGAAGTTTAGTGCGGATGATGTCTTCGTAGATTTATCAGAACACTAAAACATATAGTGTTTTCACACTGATATATTTTACTTGGACAAGAGTACTGAAATATTTTCAAAACAATTCGGCTGAAAAAGAAAGAAACCTTGAAAATTGTCTTATCATATTAGTCTAATTTCGCGCGTTCATAAGTGACATCATACGATATGATTATGACTCAACGAAATGTACCAGCAAAAACATCTGATGGATCTGCGCCTTTTATTTATCATAGGCAGATCATGTAAAAAGAACAAGCAGGAAAGTGGTTGATGTTTCAAATGGGGCTGATGAGAAAACGACTCAATGAAGGGTCAAAAATAATCGTTTTAATTAGCTTATCGGCAACAATCTGTGGATCTGTTGTAGCTAGCAGTCATCGTCGATTAACGATTTGCTCTCATACTGTTTCCTCGTTTTGAGCTTAAAATATTGCACCTATCTTTAATCTAGATTCCGTGAAGGTATTCAACAGGAATAAATACACCCCTCCTCTCTTTCAAGGTGGTGATGATTGAGATCAGAGGTAAAATTTCAGAAAAAAACAACTTAAAAAGGTTTTTTTCCCCACAACATCAACCGCATGTAAATTCCTTTCAACAACCTGCGTTTCTGTAGTATAGAGATGAAAAACGTCCTGTAGGAGTGTCCTTACAAAGCCGGGATAAAAAAAAAAATTGGCCAATGATGCCTACGCCACTCGTTCATGGATGAAACTATTCGGCGTTGGTGCCACCTTTTCCACGACTGGCTCCATAACTAGGAAAGATAAGCCTATGTCTTTCCCGTTTGAGATTACCGCCTGCTCTAATTCTGATCAATGCAGCAAATACTTGAAGCCGACCTGGACTGTATTTAAACTCTGAGTATCTTTTTTTTTTTTTTTTTTTTACAGCATTACGGGAGCCAAAAACAACAACTGCAAGTTATGCAGACAATCAAAATACAGAAACAAAAAGTTTTATCGGTTTCATGCATCAGAAAGTAAATTTTGAGGTGTATTTGGGAATCAAAAAAATCGTTCGATGTCTTCCAAGCCTGTTGTTACAAGATGATTAGAAATACTCTCCTATTCCGTTTTCGCAAGGAACTTCGCCCATTCATCTTGACCTTAACTCTGGCTAAAAAAGTATAATGTAGTCACCCAGCTTTTCACGAGGAATATATTTAGCTATGAGCTCGAGTGATGTGGTGACTGATTGATAGTGGTTTGCCGAAAAGCAACATGTACTTCCAGGCGCTCATTTTACTCTTTTTAAAAACACTAGTGAACTCTAACTTGATGGTTGAATTTATTTGAGATGAGATACATATATGGCACACTTATGGTAAAACAAAACTGAACTTTGGGTACCATCTTTAAAGAAAGGTGAAGCATCAACTAAGACGAGACAAAAGACAATTTTCACGAAAAAAGTTAAAAACCAGAATTTGTCGCATTCATCACTGTTGACAATGTGGTTTCTAGAAAAACCAAAAAAAGTTTCCAACCACCCGCAGTTGAAAAGATATCCGACCACAGCTTGTCTCAAGACAATTTCTAAATACGTGTGAAGAATGTTATGTGATATTTGAATATCAGATGCACTTAAAAAGCCTGTGTTTAGTCCAAGATTTGTAAGTGCCGATATCATCAGTTTACGGAAGTTACCAAAGATAAACCCACTCACTGTCAAGAGTTATAGCTCTTAACCTAATTGTAATTGTCAAATACAAGCCCTTAGAACAACTGCAGTGAATAGTAATCGTCATTCTAGTAAGTCCTTGATCTAACACGTCCCAAACTAAGTCCCCAAAAGACATACTTTGTTAAGAGCTTGAAAAGAACCTTTCCGGGACCAAGAAAGCTGATTTTCTTTCCTCAGCGCATCCACCGCTCCAAACGTCATTATAGGGGAGGGATGACTTAAGTTACACGTACAGATTACATCCTGCGTTGAGATCCGAAAACAGACGGAAGCATTTCGATAATCAATTTTTGTTTTTTGTTTAGTGAAAAGTATTAGAAACCAGCCTCTTATGGTACCAGCAATGCCGATTTTTACCTATGTTTCTTGTAGTAGTAGAATCGATACCTTTAAAGACAGAAAACAAGACGTCACGAAAAAGAAGGATGCATAATCGCTAAAAACCCATGAGGGTGAAGCTTTTAAGGTATTGATTTCATTACTCGTATCTTTCGTACTCGGTAATCCTCTATTTCCGATGCTAAGTCAAAGAAACCTAAATTTGAACACATCACTCAACTCCATGAATAGTTCTAATAATGTGTCAAGAGACACACACAGTATCCCTCTTATCATAAAAACAACGCGACATTCTTTCATTTTTGTTCCTACCTTGAATATTTCAGAAAACAAAAACATGCACTTATCTCGCAGTGAGTATGACAAATTTTCACAGTTGTCTCTCGAATGGCAGCCTGCCAGGTCCATTAAATTAATAATAATGAGTGCTTTCCTTGATTCAAAAAACAATTGTTAGCACGCATGCATCCATAACGTTTGAAATGTTATTAAGACAGCGGCCATTGCATTTAGCTTATTTAAGAAACTAAACTGGATGCCTTTTTACGATGAAATTAACGTTAACAACCTATGTCTTATTTTTAAATGTATACAGGGGCAATGCCCAGAATATCTACGCACTAAGTTAGTCCTTGTAATTGATACATTGGAAAGCTCTTCGCGTTATGGGCACATAACACTACGCTACCCCAAGTAAAACAAGAAAACAGAAGGGAGTGCAACCTTTTTAGTATCATCAATTCTACTATGGAACTCTTAACCTGTTAAAATAAGATCTAGCGAAACTATCAACTCTTTTAAACGCAAATGTATTGAGCACATAATGGAGGGGTGTGCTAATATTGATCATTTTCGAATATCCTAATATTCTTAAATTTTATTCTTTTATTGCATGTTGATCGTTAGGTCATTTCCTATTATTGTAATAACTATAGTTAGAAATTTCTAAATTATTGCAATTGTTTGTAACTTTTCTTATTGTAATTTAGGTGAGGGCCACAGGCTTCTCAGACTGTGAAGTGCTTCCCCCGCAAATAAAGTTATTTATTTATTTATTTATTTATTACGTCAAAGTCGCCGGTATAATAAAAGAGAATGCCGGATTTCTGGGGAAAAAATCTAACAGATTAAAGCCAGTGTGGATTTTTTCGTCGAACTTGCTTTGCGTATAGCAATGCCCACTAAAGAGCAACCAAAAACCTTCCAGTGTAGAATACATATTTTTGGGAAGTAATTGTTTTCTGATTTTTTTTATCTCCGTGTTGACTTTCCTTGACCTATCAGTCGCCTTCTTATGAGCGGAGATTTTCACATACAATGATACGTGTGCACTATGAAGGAATGTTTCAAATATCTGCTTTGTAAGTGAAGAAATCTAGAGTACCTTTAACAGGATGACGAAATGCACTCCGGCGATGGAAGAATGGGCATAAAAAAAAAACATCACACGACACTAAAGTTCAATGTAAACATGCTATTCCCGACTAAGGGGCGGTAAATCGTTTTTCTTTTTTTGACAACCAAAGTCGCAGAAAGGAGTCCTTCATTTATCTTTAATTTTGCACACAAATAAATTGTCTGTCTCCACCTTTTCCTTTACGAGCACAGTTCTCAAATTTGATGGGATCACAATTCCATGCAAAAGCAACAACCATGAACTTTGTACAATGAATGGCCCGCAGCGGTTAGCCTTAATTTTATCGCAAAAGTAATCAAATTCGATAAAATATACTAATAATCAAGCTGGTAATCAGCGGAAATGCTTTCCCATTCAACTACTATAAATTGACCTTCAACTTTTTTGTTAAAAATGCAAAGTAAAGCCGTACCTCTCTCCAGTACTTTGAAGACTGAGTGATCAGAAGCGATCCGAATGTATCTCCGACTTCCTCTGCACTCATCACATTGTTTTTAACCACATTAACAAGATGAGAAAATAGCTCTTTCCACAATTTCATCAGTGAAGCTTCCACCAAGGGCCTAGCAAAATATTTGAAACGACAGTAAGAGAGTTTTAAATTAAAACCAACTGAATGGATGCGACGAATGAAGATGGTCGAGATAAAAAAAGTTTTACATGTAAGCTTAATCAGATACTTGTACTAAGCAAAGATAAGCTTTCACTGTATGTAAATAAGTGTTTTTTAGAAAGCTTTATGTACAGCATTTATAAATATTTACCATCCATTCAACTCAGTCTATGACATAGGTGGCAATGCTTTTAAAGAACAGTTAGATCCAACGTAACATTAATAACATTTTGTGCGGCGTGTCTATACCAGAAAATTTTCGTTAGATTCACTTGTAAAAAAGTAAGAGCACGACTGCATGTAACCGGACAAAAATAGCGTCTTGAGGACTAGAGAGGATAAAGGGAGATGGCTTCGTCGACTCGCCAGAAAAGTAAGAAAAAATTAAACTTCAAAGTAGTCTTCGCTGTCGTCTTCACCGCGCTATGGTTGGAGTCAAGACGCGGCTGCAACACATTTGGCAGGAATTGAACGTCGGTTGTAAATTTTTGGCGGGAACGAAACGTAATAAGCCTCCATGTAAGGAAGTAATCCCTACGCCAACTGTAACACTGGTTGAAGGCAAAAAGCCTACATAACTTGAAGTTAAACAGGTACACTTCAACTCGTTTCGCGTGTTAAATTAAGTTACCTTAACTCTTTCTCCGTTTCACAGGACAGTCCTTGGGAAAACACTCGGTCTGGAATAAGGCAACCGGCAGGGGAACTAGATACCAAAAGTGGTAACTCTTCAAGAACAATCATGCTGATGGTGTTTGGGTCAAGAGACTGGAGACTACTGCCAACCTCAACAGCTCTTTGACAAAACAATACATAACATTATAATGAGTAAATAAATTGTAAAACATTTTAAAGTGTAGTGAGATATTTGCGAAATGGCAGCCGTGAAAGAATAGAGCTTTCCCCCAAAAAAATTTTCCGTCTCCCATCATTCTATATTCACGTTATTAACACTTAAGGGTGATCAGAATTCCAGTTAAGTACCGCTAATAAAGTAAGTAACCAATCTCTCGTGCGACGAGAGCCTCGTCTCGAGATAAAGAAGGCTCTCTTCCCACCATACGAGACTCTGGTTCAAATCAAGAAACGTTCAATAAAGAGATTGTAACTGTCAGTTCTACGCGCATATTTTTCGAAGTATAAACAAGACGAAGGAGATGCTAACGTGTTGGGCGACATGGCTTTTGGTACATGATAGTTTTCGGGTTTTCTTTCTCGGGTATTTCTTTCCAAATAAATGAGAAAGATAGTAGCTCTGTGTGCTTGGAGTTTAAATGTTAAGTAAATACTTCTCTCCAAATGCTCACTTTGTTATCTCTGCTCGCATGTCGGAACTGCAGCTAGGTGAATGATACAAGGTTTCTGGGCTGAATGACACCTCAACATCAGCGTCAACAGCTTGCAAAAGACACAAGAATCCATCTAAGCTTACGGATGGTTTTATCTCTTCGTGTGTCATCTCTGCCTGAACCTCTGTTTTAACATCATCCACAACTTCATCTCCATCCGTATCATCTCCTTTTTTTGTATTGTCACTAGTATCTAACCTCCCAGATTGTTCAGTGACTTTTGCAACAGTGCTTGGAAGTTTCTCTTTCTCTTCATGCACAGGAACATCGGCAGCGTCACGCTCGTTTTCCGATAGCACGGACTCTGGGATATCCTCACTGATGTCTTCAGTGAAGCTCTTGCTATAGTCGGGTATAACAGCAGGTTTACTTACACTCGCAGAAATTTCCAAATCCCCGCTCAAGGTAGCGTTTTTGTTGGGTTCATTAACATTTTTGTGTTCTATCTGTGAAGGAACGTAAAATGTTCCACCTGCGTCACCTCCATCTGGAAGGCTAAGATCACTTAAATCCAAGCTTTCCTCGTCATCGCTTTGCTCTCTGACTTTATGTAACTCTTGAGGCGTACCAGGCGCTTCAGCAATTCTTTCCTCAATCTTTGTATCAACTGACTTGCCTTCCTTCTGTTCTTGTGGCCTTCCGTTTGATATCTCCACTGCCTTTACTGGTTCAACCTTAGGCTTCGAAGCTGTCTCCAAATCAGCTGATCCCTCTGCCGGCAAGCTTTCATTTTTCAGCACAGATTCCTTCTCTGGTTTATCTGTTAAAACATTTGAAGTGGCTTGGGACGACATTGGTGAAATGGCAGTGTCATCCTCTCTAGTCTCAAAGTGATGTTCTTGATTAGTATTTACTACAGAGGTACCACTGACTGGTGATGAAAGAGGAGGATTTTTCAAACTCGTCATTGGATTGCTCCTCTCCAAAGGTTTTTCAGGAGTAACAAATGGCTGACCAGTGGTGTAACTCTCTGAGGGTTTGGTATCTTGAGCAGACTCCAGACTTTTTTCCATGACTGGTCTTTTGGGTAAACCACCATCAAAAGCCTGAAAACGTTACATCAAATATCTTATTGCAGAACAATAGTAGTAAATAATTACTAAATGAAACTAACGTTACAGTGTGGAGATTCTACACTGAGCACAACCTCGTTCCCAGGGTCTCTCATCTGTCTGCCCCCTGTGGCAAGAGAAAGGCTCTCGCTCCAGGGGGAAGGGCAAAGATGAGAGACCCTGGGAACGAGGTTGCACTGAGCATTGACTTAAATCTGGGATTAAACAGCTTCCACTTCACTTTGGGGCTTTTTCATAGGTCTACATCTAGCAGCCAATCAGATATAAAACTGAAATCAAGCTTGACTTAATCTGTGATTTCCACAGTTTATATTTTGGGTTCTCGCAGTCTCCTTGTAATGAATTTACCTTAGTTCCAATTGGCCATTAAGCTCACCTTATCATCAAATGAATTGTCTTCCCCATTGAAAACCTTTCGACTCATTACATTTGGTTCAAATTCAGCTGCCCTGTGATCTCTTGGACCTCCGTAACCCTGTCGCATTCCACCCTGATTGTATTGCTCAGGGTATCCATTCTGTTCATAAAGTCCTAGATGGTTTCTGTACCCCATGTGTGTCCTTTGCAGCTCCATTCTTGGTTCATAAGGAGTTGCTTCCTGCAACCGTGGATGTGGAATATCTGAATACATAAAACATGATGCAAGTGGACCATTTCTAGAGATGCCAATCTCTCCTGGGTGTGGTCGTCTGTCATAAAACTGATCACCTGGTGAGCCATAATAGTGATCTGGTGACCTGTACTGTACATTAACAGGTCCTCTACTGCTTTCTGACAAGTGACCTTGATGCATTCTACTATCCAAAGGTCTTTGTGAGTCATAATATCCAGGACTTTGCCATCTACTGTCAGAGGCATAATATCCAGATGGTGGTGGACCACTGCCATTTGGGTGGGAGGACCCAAGATAAGAAAAATGGTCGTGAGGATAGCGATGGTCAGCTGGGTGATTTGTTGTTGGTGGTGATCTGCTGTAAACTGCTGAAACTGAACTGTGCTGGTTAGTCCGTGTGCTTGCATATACTGGAGTGTTCACAGGAAAATGTGGCTGAAGTCTAGAATCTTTTAAGGAAGAGGTCAAAGGTGTAGTGCTAGGTCCCTGCAAAAAAATAAATATTCAACAACATTTCAAGCTCACCCAGAGCTTAAATAACTGTGAATTTATTTTAAGAGTAACTTACATTTCTCACTGGGTCGTTTATGTCTTGCTGTTGACCTAGTCTATAATTCTCCAATTCTTCTTTCCACCTTGGATACATCTTGTTGATGTAGTTTTCCTATTGCTCCTAACAATGTGAAAGATACTCCAAAAGTTACTTAAATGTTCCACAATTGTTCACAAAGAAAAGTGTAATTATTTGTATTAGAGAGTATTATTCTTAAAGAATGGTGTCATTACCTTTTGCTGAACATTTTGTTTCTAAAAAAAAAGGAATTTCTTGTTGTGGTGTTGGGAGGCATGTGCCTCCGATAAGGCATAGCGGGCTCAGAAAACATGTGGAAGGAATGAGTTGGACATGTTTTTGCTGTAGTTTCTTGTTTAACCTTACTGCAGATTCCCTAAAGCTCAGACATATTCAAATCATATAACTGATTCTGATTGTTTGGATCTTAGAAATAAATTGTGAAATAGTGACTACAAATGGGAATCACTCATATATACATTTACGCTCCAAGAGATCACAGTATAAAATGATACTAAAACAGCACCACACTCAAGTGTCACCTTATAAGCTTTAAGCCTCTCAGTTTTCACAGCCAACATAGCAGCATGTTGTTCTACCCTTTCAAAATCCTTCAATAGTTCTCTATTTCTTTCTTTGCTCCTCTTCTCATGATCGCAAATTTTTTTCCACTGAATTTCTAGTCTGTTTGCTTCCATTTTACTCCTTTATTATGAAAGAAAAAGAAAGCCAGAGTTGAGCTAAGTATTAGTACAAACATGGGGAAACTTTCAATTTTGGTAAGGCTTTTAGTTTTTTGAGCAGCTAACCAATACTATTAGTATTTGAGTATTTAAGGATTTGTACCAAGTACTGGACCACAAACAATAGGACATAGGTCCCTATCAGAGAAGACTCGAATATCTACCCATTTCTTGATGTTATAAAAAGGTAGCATATTCTTCTCAATTATTTTAAGACCTTGAGTGTTGGTCTGGCTGGGGCTTGAACCCCCACCCTCCCCCACAACAGTCTAGCATTCTATCCATTGAGCTAACCGGAAGGCGGTTAGTAACCAGGAGGCAGTTACATATCATACACTGTAGTGCTTAACTTGTGGTTAGTATGATGCAGAGTTTGTTTAGATCTGTCATGCATCACACTCAATGTGACCATTGTTCAGATCTCAAAGACACTGCCAGAACATATTTTCCAAGTGTTTGGCAATTTATTTAATGTGACAGCACAATGACCTTTCGGTTCAATGTAGTTAAACACTAATACTTGAACAGGTCGTTTGTGTTATGTTCTTAGTCAGGACAAATTACTTTCTAAGGACTTCTCAGTCAGTACTCCCCTCTCAGGAATCCTCACGTGTATCAATACACGGCCATGGAAACGTAAAGAAAACTGAAGTCGGTGGTAACTGTCGACGGTTTCTATATACGAAGTATACGTAAGATCCACAAGTATTGAGTCACTACAACCTCAGACAAACCTTCTCACTTCACTTACATTTTTTGGCTGGAGCTAGGCTGTGACATAAACTTGGTATCGAGTGAACGTGACTTATCAGCTGAAGTGGATACCTTCATCCTATGACATCTGCAGCAGGTCAGTTAAATCACCACTTTGAAGATTGATCGGTATTTTGACTTATGCTTGCTACTAAAACGATACAGCACAACAGAAAATGCAACAGTAGAAAATTTTTCATTAAAAGTTCAAAAATTTGATCGATCTAACATTCAGCGAGAAAATCACAAATGATAGCTCAGCCAAGTTCAGCTTCGATTCGATTGAGGGTTGCTATGGCAAGGTGTTCAGACAACCAAGTCAGCTGTTTGAAAATGTACATAATCACACTCTATCACGAAATCTTTACAACTCTCAAAGCAGCATCCTGACCTTTGGCTTAAAAATCATCGAGACTTTTCGCTGTGATGAGAAATTTTTCTGTTTCCTTTCTCCGGATTATCAACTTCCCTCTGATCACGGTCCGCCATTTTTCCAAATCTTTCAATGTTTTCCCTACATGGAAAATAGGGTTCCAGGCTTTTGCGCGGTCAGTAGAATGATAGAGCCATACGAACGCCTTGCTGTATTTGATGAAAAATTGCATAGTAGAAACTGAAAGGAAGTATATTGGAATTTTAAGGATCTTGCTTTTAATGGTCGTCAAATTACAGTGAGCTCTTAAGATTTAGAATCCCGTATGTCTGCAAACGAAGGTAAGTGCTTGTTGCGCTTTTGTTACGAAGACTGCGATCTAGATCTCTCTCGGGTATTTCCCGCATGATGTTCCGAGTAATTTTTGAAGCTTCGGTTCTTCTGGAACTAAAAAATGGCAGTAATAAATTTCCCTGTCACTGAAAATTTTTCCCACATAAGTTGTATGCCTCCTGTAGTTAGCCTCATGGCTCGGTAGCGACGATGTTGTTTGTTTGTTTGTTTGTTTGTTTGCTTTGTTCTCCATCATAATTGTCCACTCCAAAGCTAACAGAGCATCATTTATTTTAGGTAAGTTTTTAGTGTAGGTAGTCAATGCCAGTTTGAGAAGCTGACAATGAATTATATTTTTTGTGATTAGTTGATTTGCAAATTGGATTCTTCAGATAATCCTCCTGTAACTGAGAAGCCAGATGACAATGGCAGTGGAGCTACTGGAGGGAACGAGGAAGACGAGCAGGAAGACGAGAGTGATTTGAGTGAGTATGTTAGGTATGTTAAGTGTACATCTAAAACAACCATCTATAAACTTTTATATGATTTTAGGTAATTGTGTTGTCAACCAAGGATGATTTTGACATGTGCAAATATCATGCCAATTTTGGCTGAAACAGTTTTGTGCAAGAAAAGTGAGTGAAATAGGCTTGCCATTGGGTATATCAACAAAGTTGAAATGGTAAATTGGCCAC